GTTACGCCATCATTCCGCCTGGACAGAGTCATAGTCCCATACATGAAGCTCCTTTGAGCATTTCGTGGTTTGGCTGAGAATATCCGTCGGATATCAAGTGGACTATAGAAATGCGTGACTGTACCACCTAGCAGGGTCCAAAGAACTTTGCAATGTATAATGGAATTATCGGATACCTAAAATATTATGGAATCCAGGAAACAGAGACAGAGAGAGAGAGTTGGAAACTCGGAGTCCTCCTGCCTAATGAATATCAGGCTCACGCATACTGGTGAGTCTTTCGCCAAGGGAAAGAAGAAGCATGGAAGAAAACAGCCTGGCCTTTGGCTACTTCTCCTAGAACAGATGCAGGCAGCCAGGCCCACGTCTGGGCTTCCTTTCACTTCAACATCTCGGATGGGCTTGGAACACTGAGGAGGAGTTTAAGTGTGGACTGCTGTGAGGTGTTGAGACATCATCAGTTCTGGAAGAAAATACGCATGTGTGATCAAATGCTCCCCCCTTTTTTTGTAAGCAAATTGCTGAGAAAATTTCAGTTGTGGTTGTAGCTCAGTGGCAGTGTGCTTTGCCTAGCGTGTGTGAGCCTTCGAGTTTCTCCCCAAGCACTGAAATAAACAAAGCTGAGTGAGATTGAAACTCATTCTTGTATAGAATCACGTATACATGCTCGAACATGTAGGCACACACATTTTTCTGGTCACCATATTATGTATTACAGGCCAGAGCATCTGGTTGTTTCCTGGGGTGTCCATGGGCAGCAGCGACAGTCTCTAACATTTTTTCTGATCCCAGCTGTAGATTAATTTTCTCCCTCACCCCCCTACCAGGCAAAGTGTTCATGCGGGTGACTCAGCTGGTTATCGTTCCAATGTTCTCGTAATGACTTTATTGTTATTGTTGTTGTTATATGGTGTGTGTGTGTGTGTGTGTGTGTGTGTGTGTGTGTGTGTGTAGAGGAGAGCACAACTCTGAGAAACTGGTACTCTTTATCTCTACAAGGGTTCCTGAGACTGAATGCAAGTTATCAGGCTTTTGTGGTAAACACTTTTACCTCTGAGCCATTTCACTGGCTTTGTTTTTAAATGGCAGATAAGTCTCTTGTCTCTAGACTTGAAATATAGTCAGAGGACAAGGAAAGGATAAGGAAAGTGTGATGGAGGGAGCAGGCCCTGTTGGTACTTGGAGTGGTGAATCGTCCTGTTGGAATGGGGCTCCTGTGTCCTCCTCTCACTTCCTCCGAGAACTTGGTCTTTCTGTTGCCTCTGCTTTATCTGCACACATGGTTTCTCCCTTTCACGGACCTCAGCTCTCTGTCTTAGAAATGCGGAGGATGTTTTTCTCTTGAACTGTATTTCTGGGATCATCTGAGGGGCTGATGCTAATAGCTACCTGTGCTTCCTCTCCCCAACTGCTAACAAGCCTGTTCTCCTCTTGTTGATTTCCACTGTACTAAACGCCCCAAGCCTTCTACACACACTCTTGCTGTCTCTCTGTCTCTGTCTCTCACACACAAACACGTGTGGGCCGGGCTTGGTAGATTTTCCATTTTAAGACTCAGCAATTAAGCTTGAAGACAAGTGGAATGCTACAGTTAATGGAGAAGTGGCTGTAGTCTGGAAAAAAATGCGTAAGTGGAGTGGGTCAGGGATGTGCCCTGGAGGGTCTGGGCCAGTGACTTGGCTGACAATGGGACAGTGCATAGTCTGGGTAAGGTCATGACTCCCATCTGGGACAAATCTATCCCACAACACCAAACATATAATTGTATCTACCATCACAGAATCCCATTGAAAAAAGTGCATTGATCACCGACCAGATAAGGAGACAGTAGTTTAGAACTAAAAAGGAAAAATCTTTGGAATTCTCCCTATTGCTCTAGGGAAGTTCCATGACTTTTCTGATTAAAGAGTTGGCATTACTGCTCTTGACTTAATTCCCCCCGGGCACAAACATATTTGATGGGTTGTACTGAATCATCATGCCAAAGCTTAGGAACGGACCAGATAGAGAAGGGAACATGTTAGCCTGCTTCCGCAGGGAGACCAGCCTTACAAAGGCAAACACCTTTAGTCCTTTACTATTCTCTGATTCTCAGAGTTGAGGCTTTTCTCAGTTTTATTATAGAAATAAAAAGCTACAGAGCACCAGTGTTAACCAAAATAGGCACTGCGTCACCTTTGCTACACTCAGAGAAACAGTGTGACGAAAGCACTTCCAAATGGGGGATTATTCAGAAACCGACCTCGGAGTTTTAAACTAGGAAGCGGTCACTAACATTTCAGAAGCAGTCGGTGCAAGTGGGCTGGACATGCTTTCTGATGTAACTTTGCCTGTCTCAGGTGTGGGGTAATGAACAGAGACGGCATCACAAACACAGGAACTCAGAACCGGGAGCCTGGACAGGCTAGCAGCTTCACAGTGCTCCCTTCTCTAGGCACAGAACACACGGTCCCTGGGTCAGGGGTTAGCAACACACATAAGAAGATTGCAGGTAACAGCTTCCTTATCTTGGCTATTTGGAAGCATGTCCAGTTAGTTCATTATGTTAGCACTTTAAGATTTGTTGGGTAGATTTTATTTATTTACTTATGTATCTATTTGCTATTTATATTTGCAGTGCTGGGAACAGAAATTCAGTCTTTTCTCATGGTAGGTAAATACACTACCCCTGAGCAGGACTTTCAGTGCCTGGGTAGGTTTATTTATTTACTTATTTTAAAGGAAAGTAATATTTACTGATTTACAAAGATACAGTGTAGAGTTAACACTGCTGTTTCCTGTTAAGATGCTAGGTTTCTATTTTATTTCCACAGACTAAAAACCATTAACAGATGCAGGAAGGGCCTAGCAATGTGTTCACCAATGTTGGCCAACTGACAGCAAAAGAATCCTTACTCCTGAGCCTTTAGTTCTGGTCCGCGGAGTTACCACGAAGTATCCCATTGCATTTATTTATTTATGCATCTCATGCCATGTTTCTGGCAGTTAACACCATGCAATGTGTGGGGTGTTCACTCTCTTCATTACTATTGCTGTGATGAAACACCACGACCAAAAGCAACTCAGGGAGGAAATGGCTTATGTGGCTTTCACATCATTGAAGGGAGTCAGGACAGGAGTCAAGTAGGGCAGGAAGCTGGAGGCAGGAGCTGAGGAAGAGGCCATGGAGGGTGCTGCTTACCGGCTTTTCTCCTCATGGCTTGTTCAGCCTGCTTTTGCGTGGAATCCAGGACCACCAGCCCAGAGAGAGCCCCACCCACATGATTTGGACCTTTCCCCATCCATCACAGTTTTATTGCCTACAGCTTGATCTTCTGGAGACTTTTTTTTTTCAATTCAAGTTCCTTGCTCTCAAAGGACACTAGCTTGTGGAAGCTGACATGGCCAGCACATCTATATTTGTATTGAGTGAAAAGATAAGCCAAGGTGTCTGAGGACTAGAGGAAGTGTGGGAGGGAGGGAGAAAGAGAGAGGAGAGTGGTGTGTCAGAGGGTCTTTCAAGCCCCGGAACTGTCCTGAATGAAACTGTGTTGGAGAACATGTGGCACCACACACCTGTGAAAACCTGTAAGATACAGCAGGAAGGGGAGCCCAGCGCAGACCAAGGACGTTAGCAAGGCCACCACATGAGGACTGGTTAACTCTGCACCCGTGCATTGCGCGGACGCCAAAACCTAAATACCGGGGAGACTGTAAGTGCAGAGCGGAGGAAAGAGGCACGAAGAAGTAATACAAATTTGCTTTACTTTTTTTGTATCCTTTAAACTGCTCTAAAATGAACAAACAAATCAACCCAACAATACGGAAAGATGAACCAAGATAATTTAGGTGAGCTAGTCTTACAATCAGTGGGAACCTGATGCTGTCCAGAACAGGTCAAAAGGTAAGTGAACTGATTTGTTTCCACAAGCCCTGGGAAACGTTAAGAAAGCCCAGAATCCCAGAACTGGGAAGACAAATGCTCTTTCCCATCTTTGTGACATGCGCCAAACCATGGGCGCCAGCTCCAGGCTCCCAAGCCTTCAGCCTTGACACTCTTTCTCACCTAGTGCTCTCTTAGGACCCCCACTGCGAGGATGTTGCCTAGCCTGGCTTTACCCAGCCACAGTGTTGGTCGAGCACCGTCTCCCGCGAGGACGGATGTGCGCAAGGCGGGAAGTAAGTGCACAGGATGGGAACCGGCTGCAGGCACACTGACCAGAGGTGACAGCACACAGACGGGGCACAGGGGCAGAAAAGTGCCACGTTCCTAGGCGTGCTGAGGGGGCTCCTTGAATCATTGACATGTTGGTGAAAAGTGTAACGGCAAAGAGTGAGAACTGACTTCCGAGCGCTTGTCTCAAACAGGCCAAGGATGGAGCTGTATAGAAGAATATTGTGGTAGTACAGGTTGGGATATATCAGCTTCATGTTGTATATATTATGGTCTATTTGATATCTAATTGGAGATGTCAGATGAACAGTGGCTATGGACGCATGTCTTCCTCTGGGTAGCCACACAGCATATTGTTCATTGGCTCATAATTCCTCTGGAATGCAAGCTCCATCCAAGCTGGGATTTTGCCTGCTTTGTTTACTGTTGTATATCCAATATCTAGCAGCAAAATTTTGCCAGAAAGATAAAGGATGGATGAGAGCGTTAATTGCTTAGTAAAACAAAGCAGGGAGATGACGATTAGACTATTAGTATGAAGGATGTGTTCAAAAGTAAAATTGCTTGCCTGGTAGTTACTAAGAAGAAATTTGCAAGGCATTATATAAGAGAATTCCCTATAAAGAGCTCTTTAAAATGAAGAGACCCTGTAGGTGGCGGTAGCACACGCCTTTCATTCCAGTACTTGGCAGGCAGAGGCAGGTGGATCTTCACAGATCCACATTCCTGGCCAGCCTGGTTTACAGAGTGAGTTCTAGGACAGCCAGGGCTACACAGAGAAACCCTGTCTCACAAAACAAAGCAAGCAAGCAAACAAACAAAATGAAAAGACACTTCAAAGCTTCTGTAAACTTTTATTTTCTGTTTAATGGGCCATGCCAACTCAGGCCCTTAGCTTCTGGCTCATTTCTACAAAGTTACTTGTTGGAAATGTGGTGAAGGCAGGTAGAAATTAGAACTGTTTGTATGAGTGAGCTAAAGTTACCAGCCCAAAAACAAAATGCACACTGAAGCCTATGTACTCAGACCTATGATGTTCTGAATTTAACAAATCCATTTCATATGTAAAAGACAAAGCAAAACGGTGTGCATCTATGTCTTCCTTGAGGCATGTATGTGTGCGTGACACCCAGTGGCGCAGTGGGACCTGGCCTCTAACACGCGAAGAGACAGTATTTCTCCGTCCTGAAGTTCAAACAACTGGAGCCTGATTTCATTTTTAACATGTAATAAAATATGATGCAAAAATTTTAACATAGCTAGCTTTTCACCGATAATCTGTCTGATGGCCTAGCTAGCTTTTCACTGATAATCTCTCTGATGGCCTGTGACAGAAACTTCAGGCAGCTTGCCGGTTTGCCATAGTCAGGGAGTAGAACAAAACACTGCTTGGCTGGGGATGTAGGTTAGTGGCAGAGCACCTGCCTAACATATACAAGGTTCTGGGCTCACTTCCCAGTGCAAACAGTAAAAAAACCACACACACACACAGGAACAAAAAACTACCCCAAGGAAATAAAGAGAAAGGTGTAATACTTCCAAGTATAAAGCTCTTTGCTTCAGCAGGGGTAATGCTATGACCCCGAATACTGCTTTGTCAAATATCCAACCTAACAAATCCTAACTGGAGCCTTGTTCCCTCCCAGAATTTGTAATGGTAAGTACGTCACAAGTATGGACACTTGTGGTTTTTATGTGTAAAAACGGAACAGAGTGGGTTGCATAATGAACAATCACCTAGAATTCACCCCCAACGTGTGCTTTGGCACAAACACAGGGCATTCTAAGACACATGCATGTACACACACACACACACACACACACACACACACACACACACACAAATATATATTCCATAGAGACAATCACAGAAGATTTGGCTAAAAGACATTTACAATTATTTATATATTTATATACACACAAAATAAAAGATATTTGTCATTCTCACAGTCTGTAAACACCTGGGAAAATGCCCAGTAGAGTTACTGTGGGCTCTTTGAAATGGTGACCACTGGGGAGTTGGGGATAGGATGAAAATTTGAGTTCATATCAGAATCAGGGAGGTGCAAAGATTTAAAGGTTTATGGCGGGTGAAACTACATTTCATGCGACACAACCAGCTCATTTGGCCACTTTGAAATTGTTTCCCGTCTGGAAAAAGGAATGAGCAGGAAAGCCTTGTCGCCAGTCATCATTTTGGGAGAAACTGAGAGCATAAGGGGGAGTATGTATTATATGTGAGTTACTGTTATAGAACTTAAAGAAAATTTCCAGGCCCTCAGAAGCTTTTCAGCACGTTCTTCCTAGGTATGCTTGAGACTCGGCACTGGAAGTCTCAGCAGAGGCCTCTCTAGGGCCCCATGTAAGCTGCAGGACACGTTTTCAAGTTAAAAACCACATTAGAAAAGGTTGGGCTTATGAAAAATAGAACCATTTGAGCTAAGTATTATTATTAATTATTATTCAGAGATGGAGTCCCTCTGCTTCCTGCAGGCAGTCTCCCACTCACAATCCCCCTGCCTCAGCCTCCCAGATGTTACAAGAAGCATGTGGCATGTGCTCTCTCACCCAGCTCCCAAACATTATTATTATTTTTAATTTAACATAAAAATATGCTCAAGCCAGATGACATGTCACATGTCCTTAATTCCAGCACTTGGAAGGCAGAAGCACTTGGATCTCTGTGAGTTAGAGGCTAGCCTGGTCTACAAAGCAAGGAGGGTCAGGGTTACACTGAGAAACCCTGTCTTGAAAAACTAAACCAAAAAAAAAAAAAAAAAAAAAAAAGGAAAGAAAAGAAAGAAAGAAAATACAGGTTTTTAAAAAGTTCTTTGGTTAGCAGCTATTAAACTGCTCTGTGGCTGTGTTTGTGGCAGCTTTAGAATTCATGTTTTTCAAATAAACAATGACATAGAAATATGACATAATTGCTCATCTGATGCTTTTCTCCTCTTCCTCTTCTTTTTCAAAGTATATGTAAATAATATGAAGTGATCATTTCTAGGGTATCATGCAGTTATAAAATACTAACACAGAATGACATTTCCAAAAAAAACAAAAAACAAAAAACCCACAACACTTTAACCTCACAATGTGCTTGCCTAAAAAAATAATCTTGTCATAACCTTTAAACACTTTTTTTGAGACAGAATCTCATGAAGCTCAGACTTTTCTGGGCTATGTAGATGATGCTAACCTCAAACTCCCGATCATCCTGGCCTCACCGCTTCAATTCTAGGATTACAGGCACGTGCCACTAAAGCCAGCATGGTCTCTAGGGCAGTGGTTCTCAATCTGTTTGGTCTCAATCCCTTTGGGAGTCAAACAGCCCTCTCACAGGGGCAGACTAAGACCATCAGAAATATCAGATAAATATAACAACTCATAAGAGCTGTCAAATTAGAATTACGAAGTAGCAACAAAAATAATTTTATGGTTGAGGGGCTGCATTGTATGTGAGGGACTGTATGAAGGGGCTGCAGCATTAAGAAGGTTGGAACCGCTGCTCTAGAGTTTTGTGATGAGCAGTTCTCACTGGCTGTTCCACAGAACTGCATGAAAGCTGGCCATGAACTTGCAAACTCTGTGTGCATGCCAAGATTGCTGACACCAGGTGGTTTCCTTGAATGGTCTCCTTTCTCTCTCAGCTCTTGTGTAATTTTCAATGGTTGGATATGACAGGCATAGTAGGCAAATCATAGACAGTATTCGGGCCGGACCCAGCGGCTGTGGCTGGAAGCCAGTCCACGACATGCTGTTGGGAGGAAGGCTGTAGGGCTTTTCTTTTCTCAGGCTGGACTTGAAACGGGACCAGAAGAGAGAATTCAGGAGGTTTTGGAAGGCCCAGCTGCTGTATGACCATTTCCCCCGCCGAGGACCTGAAGACACACTGGCTGGTGTTTCCGTAGAGGGCTAGTTCACGCTGTCTTTGTGGCTGCTCCTCTCTGTGTTGTGGTTGTTCTGGTCTGGGCTCTTCCACTGGATACTTGTTCCGTTCATGGGGACTGATGTCATGAGGCTTTTGGACTGGTGACAACAGCAACAGAGGCATGACTGGGAGTGGGGAAGAGAGAAGGTATGTAAATTACTGAGTCAGCCGGCCAGTCCATTCTTAGCCACACATGAAAGCTTGGGGTCCGCGAGTGAGGGGTGCCCATGGCCAGCTGAGGACAGCTGGAGCTTGTCAAAGCCAGGCAGAGATTAGGAGCAAAGGGCTCTTGCTTTTTATTGTAATTGTGTTCTTTGTGTTTAAGAGGGAGGAAGGCTGGTTGAAGAGGGGACTCTTCTAGCAAATGAGGCAGATATAGCTGGGAAAGGGTTGGGAGACCTGCTTCTTCATCAGAGTATATTCCTTACGTGGTGCTTGGTATCTGTCAGTACCTCAGCAGACCCTCACTGCAGCCCCAGAAGTGGGTGCTGTTCACACCTCTTTATGAAGGCCCATAGTGGGGCCTGAGGAGAAGAGCAGAATGTAAATTAGAAGCCAGGTCTCTCTAGACCAGATTCTTTCCCTTGGCCGTTCCCTTCGTCATGTGTTCAATTTCTGAGGATTTTGAATAGGAATTTTCCCTTGCCTTCTAATTTATCTATAAAATAATCAGCAAGTGGTATCAAGTGCAGCATATGAAATATACTAGTTAGGACCTGTGTATGAGTTGCCTGTTTTGGTCCCAGCACTTTGTGACTTATAATCTTCCCTAGAAGATCTCAAAGCCATAGCAGCTGAAACTCCACCATCAACTCTCACCTGTTTTTACCATCTTCTGGGTAATATGTCTGTCTCTGTTTAGAGCCTTGTTTCTGTGAGGACAGTTACTATGCTTTTCTTTTCAGTCTTAAGCAATAGCACACTCATATGGGCACTTATTGTTTGTATCTGTTTCTGTCTATCTATCTATCTATCTATCTATCTATCTATCTATCTATCTGTCATCTCTCTCTATCTCTCTATCTCTCATCTATTATCCATCCATCCATCCATTTATCTATTATCTGTCTGTCTGTTTATGTACACTGAATTCTACTTTTTGGATGGTTACTTGGCTCATCTGTTTTCACAGGTGAGTTTACTGAGGAAGCTGGGAGGGGAACTGATCACACGTGGGTGAGACCATTAGCAAACGCTGAGCTGTGCGGTCAGCCAAGGGTGTCTGCTTCCAGGGCTTGCGTGCCTGACCTCTACTCTGTTCTGCATGAAAATGTACTATGTGCTAACGGTAAACATCTTGGTCCAAGATAACACAACCCAGTAAACAGGAAGCCTATGCTAAAGTCATTGACACCAGTCGGACATGGAGCTCCTCAAGATGTTGTTGGCTTCCCTGGAAGGAGTTTTGAAACACGAAAGTAGACTTCAAGTGAAACCCCAGTAGCACAGATGTCTAGAGTAATAAATATTTGCTCTCCCTTTGGAAGGTGAGATTTGGCTCTCTGTGTTTAAAATGCTGGTGCCTTTACTGAGCATTCTTTTGAGGAGAGGCACTAAACTGGCATGGAATTAAGTCAGTCCTTTCGGCTTTAACCTCTGAAAGTGTCATCTGAATATATGTTGCCCTTCTGCTCTGTCGGCAACCTGACCTTTCTAGGCAACAGGAAGTGATTTTCACTTCTTGAATGAAGAAGAATGTTCCTTATCAAAGCAGTAGTAAAACTGGAATTGGCTGTGTCTTTTGTGTATGGGATGGGAGGGGGGAGTTGGGAGAGAGAGAGAGAGAGAGAGAGAGCGAGAGAGCACTTGCAAAACAGTGTTACCTGGAAACAATTTTTGAATTTCTTGCTCACAAAGTACAGAGCTATTGGGTTTATGCAAGAATTCATGGTTGCCAGGTTAATGCCGATGTAATCCATGAGCAGCAGGAAGCTGGAACAAAACACACGTTGCTCTAAAATCTGCCCAGTGGCACTTACCCCCCCCCCCCCCCCAGCTTTTCTCTTGCCCTGAAGCAATGGCTATGGGTAACAGTTAGCAACTTATACGCCCTGCAGGATAAACGCCCTGGTTAGTGGAAACCCTTGTCACAGCCTCAGGAAGGAAGTGGAAAGATTACAGACAGGACTTGCAAAATTTTGGGATCAGTTATATAGGCTGTATCAGCTAAAAACGTAATTAAATTTACAATTTTAAGTTTCAGCACTGGTACAGCTGGAAACATTTTACAAAGGTGACAAGTTGGGAAACTAGTCTCCTTCAGGGCTCATACCTGAGCAGTTCGCACCGGTTTGTGTCCATCTCATCATAGGCAGTCTTCTTTAAGATGCGGCTTAAGTGAAGAGGGAACCAGCACAGGGCGAAGATGACGACCAAGCAGAAAACAGTCTTCGCCACCTCTCGACGCTGAGGGCAACATGCAGACAAGGGTAAAGGTCAGTGCCACCACATGGCAGAATTAGTGACATACAGGGAGGGAGGGAGGAGACGCCAGGAAAAGTCTGGGGAGCGGCCCTCACTGCCATATGGGTTTTTAAGACCCTGAGTGCAACTGTCTCACAGAGGAGTCATTAACCATGCTCTTGGGCAGTGTCCAGCTTTGAGAGCCTCTGAGGACAACAGCAGAGCTCTACGCCAAGAGGAAGGTAAGAATTGGCTGGAGTCAACACCGGGGTTGAGTCTAAGCCTGGGGACATGTGTCTTTGTGAATGTAAGACTGTGGGTATGTGTGTTTGTAAGTGCGAGCATGGGAGCGTGTGTATTTGTGAATCTAAGCAGGAAAAAGACATGTGTATCTGTGAATCTCAGCCTGAAGACATGTGTATCTGAATCTAGGCCTGAAGGCACTGTGTTTGTGAGCGTAAGCATGGGAGCATGTATGCTTTCAAGGAGTGCAGATGGCTAGAGGGTGACTACTCAGGGTTAGTTAAACCCGGAGTATCAGGTACCCGGCTTTAGTAATGCCATGACAGCCAAGGACACTGAGCACAGCAAGAAAATGGACAGAAAAACAGTTCATTTCCACTAGTTTCTGATTTTGAAGCTACTGTTGAAAATGTTTTGCTTTTATTTATTATTTATTTATCTTGTTGGAGATAGTCTTGCTTTGTTGCCCAGGCTGGTCGGAAACTCCTGTGCCCAGGAGATCCCATTGCTCTAGTCTCTCTTGTGTTTAGATTATAGACATGTGCCACTATGCCTGGGTTGAAATTTACTTTTAATATTAAAATTCCTTGTGTAGTTTGCAAAGATCTGCCATTTGCAAACAGAAGGATAAAGGTAGGGGTTATTGGCAGTGACAGTTAAAAGCACTTGGCATGCTGATCAAGGGCTCCAGCTGAAGTTTTACCCGCGGCTGAGTCTGCTTGTGGTCTGAACAGCCAGGGGTGAGGGATTGTCTGTAGCCCTGCATTTAGTGCTGAGGTATATCCCCTGTCACATTCAGAGGCGGGTCTAGGAACAGCAAATGCATCCTGTCTGTAATGGGGGCACTCAACCTCAAACAAAACTGACTGGACACAGGCTGAAAAATCATTCTGGAAAATAACGTCTCAGGCCAAGGCACCTGACATTCTCATGCTACGTTCAAGAAGCCTACAACAAACCCATCCGGTTCAGCCCTCCCCAGAGATTCGCTTATCCCAAACTGCTGCTGTAGCACAAAGAACTGGAGCCTTTAACCCCCACTGTCATGAGACCGACTGGGTGATGGTTCCAGAGAGATGTCTGGAGAAGAGAGACTTAAAGCACCCCAGGACTGGGGCTTTGTAAAGCTGTTCTGTTTTTGTTTTTATTTGTGTATTTTTGAGACAAGGTTTCACTATTTATCCCTGACTGGTCTGGGGTTCACTGTGTAGACTAGACTGGACTTGAACTCATATAGAGATCCACCTGCTTTAGCTACCCTACTGCTGGGATTAAACCCAGCCTTCAAGGGTTAATTTTGCACACTGCCTGAATAAAGCGAGGTTAAAGTCTCTCAAAGTAAACACTACTGTCAGTCAAAGGTAATTGCTACCATTTGTGACACAGTAGAACCCTCAGCGCACATCACTTCCTTAGGGTCCTCCGCTTCACGTGTTATTCTGGCCCGTTTGCAGACTAGGGAGGAGGAAATCAGCGCAGCAGTTGAATGGTGCAATTGTGTGCTACTGTGTTATACAGGCCAGCTTCGGGGACTCCATCAACAGCTCATTCTGCCTTTTGGTGTGACTGAATGTCCCTATATGCTTTCCCATTGCTGCCAAGGACTTACTTGCTCTCTCACTTTCACTCTATGAATCAACATAAATTAGTTATTTGCTGAGTGCCTACCAGGAACTGGATACTATTAGGTACACTATATGCCCTTGGCAATCTACAAATTATTACTACACACTTTATGAGAAACTAGAAGCTTCAAGGCTTGAGATGATCTGCACAAGGTCACGTGACTAAGAAGTATAAGAGTTAAGTCTGCCTTCTGAGGCCCCCAAGTGCATATAACTATTCCAGCTGCTGCCTAAAAGATACATTAACTCCCACCGCCATATTCAAATTCCTCCTAAAACTTTGGGCCTCCAAGATTTCACCTCTTTTTGCTGTGTTCAGTTAAAAATTTGCTATCATGAGCCTTATTTGAGATGCTGATCTGATCAAATTCATGTCCATTCCTCTCCTCCCAATTGCCTGGTGTGTCCATTCCATGCTCTCCCAGGGCAATTATCCTTCCGACTGAAACAGCTTTTGTCCTCTGCTTTCCACCAAATAACACTTGTCCTCCTTCTTCCTCACCCATGGACCATTTCTCCATAGTTCCATTTCATATATGCCCTGGCTTTGTATTGTATGGCTACTTGGATTGCACTTCATCATTCTATTTCCTAATTGCCTGTATTTGTATTTTATTCTACAACTCGACCACAAAGCACACCAGGGAAGATGGCCACACACATCTTTCTGTCCTGGCATAGTCCCAAGCCCATTTCAATGCACCCATGCACATAGACTCAATGCACACTTGGCAAAATAACCAAGAGTTAACTATCTTTAAGTCTAGCCTCCTAGCGCCATCTGGTTCACAGGCAGGATTCCCACTGCCCAAAAGGAATGCCTAAGGCTATTTAAAGAAACGGCTACAAGAGGATCTTTTTATTTTTAGAAAATCAGAGTAAATTTGTTACATATAACATTGGCCATGTGTGGCTTAAAGACAGATATGTTCTGAGAAATGTGTAGCTAGGCAACTTCAGCACCCTGCCACCATGACAGAGTGTACTAGCACACTGTTGGATGGTGTTATCCATTTCACAGTAGGCTGTGTGGTCTAGCCTGCTGCTCCCAGACTACACATATGTACCACACATTACTGCGTCAGACACTGTAGCAACTGCTGTCTGCCTATCCCAACATATCTTAGCCTGGAAAAGAGAGTGTAAAAACTCTAGGAGAGACGGCTTTTCAGTCCCGCCGTCATACGTGCAGATGCCACTGCCAGAGGCGCTGTTTTGCGCAAGCTCCTGCGCCTCCATACAGGCTTCCTGATTTCCAAAACCGCCTTGGCCAAGTTCTCAAGAGCTTCGGAGATTTACCTGCTTGAGGTGTTCACTGAGGGCGATCCGCAAGCTGCCGTTTCTCCTGTTGAGCATCTCACAGGTCATGAGGGTGTAGAAGACGGCCGTACACAGCAAGGGCATGCAGAAGTAGAACCCGAAGAGCCACCAGTCCTTCACATCTTGGTAAAACTGCCCAGGGAGGAGAAGAGAGGACGGGCTGTCGGCAAGGAAGGAGCCCCCGTGCTTGTGGATGCAGTCGTGTAAACCCACTCAGACGTATACGCCCTCTTGGACAGCAAGGAAAGGACTAGGGCTGTGCCCAGGGTTTATTTTTCAGCCCTGGATCATGCCTAGCTAGGTTTTGCGCACACTAGGCGAGTGCTGTGCTGCTAAGCTGCCATACACTAATGTCATCTAATTGTCCCTACAGGGATGCTTCTGCGAAGCTGGCACTGATCTCTGCTACACAGTGGAAGAGCTCTAACCCTACAAAAAGCCTCCTTGAAAAGTTCATTGAACGGGATTTGTGACAATTTCACCTTTGTTTACTGATGAGCCTCAACATTTTGATAAGATCAACTGACCTTTTGATTGTTGTATTTAAAGCGTATTAACATGAGTGTTTCACTGAGAGACAGTGAAGGCTATCAATGAATGGCTTATCTGTGCAGCCAAAGTTTGTGGGAGTTAGCCCTTTGCCTGGTATGTCTGCTATGTGACCCCAGAGTCAGCCAGTTCAGCCATCAATAACTCCACCCTCTCTCCCCCTCTTAATACAGGCCACCTTGGGACTACTGAGGGGGACATGCTAGCTAAAGGCTGGCTTGGCACTGTTTCTTTATGCGCAAGGATTTATACAAATCTGGACTCTTCAGTTTTCTATTTTCTTAAAGGAGAATAAAAATGAAAGTTGGAGAATGATATTCAAATTCTTTATCTAATGCTTTTACCTGTAACTTGGGAAGACATGCTTTTTACTTCCTTACACTCTTTCCTCTAGGCTATTTATTTATGGAAAATAACATAGCCTCTTGTGATAGCCTGATCAGTTCCCACAGATATGATCTCCCTGTTCCCTGAATGCTGACAGCTTTTGTACATTGAAAAGAGGCTTTTATGGGTGTTTAAGTAATCTAAAAACAGTCCCAGAAGACAAAAGTTCAGGCAAGGCTTCTTAATTGCTGTATGCCACAGACACCCTTGGGAATCTGGTGAGCCCCGGAATTCCTCCTGAGAACAATACTTTGTGTGTGTTTATGCACGCTCATGTGTTTGTGTGCACGTATGTATGTGTTCGCTTGTGGGTATTCATGTATTTGTGTGCTTGTGTGTGTGTGCCTGTGTGTGCAGGACAGAGCAACCTTAGGTATCATTCTTCAGGAGCTAGCACCTTGTTTTTTGAGACAGTCTTCCACTGGGATCTAGGGCTGGCCAGTTTAGTGAGGCTATGCTGCTAACGCCTGTGGAGCTGCCAGTCCTTTGCCTTCCCAGCACTAGTTTTTACAAGCCCGTGCCATCATTCCCAGCTTCTTACATGGATTCTAGGGATTAAATGTTATCACTTTATCAATTCAACTACCTTCCCAGACCTCAACATTGTATTTTAATATGCACAAAGTTAAATGTATGCAGTCACGATGGAAACCAATTATGTTGAAATGGAACCATCAAAATACTGAAAATAAAATTCTGATAAAGGTGTGTATTTATAAACAAATTACACAGCATATGATTCTAATTAAATAATATAATGGCTCAAAAAAACTACCAAGATGTAGTAATGAGTATTAATATTTTAAGATTGTCCATACATATTTCTCCTTGTAAAAAAAATCATGGTACCCTTAAACACCAAAGTGGCTTATTAACTACATTTAAAGTCAGAGGAAATGGTACATTTCAGGGGGAATTTAGTGAAAACAAACACGTTTTCCCCCTTCCAAGCTCACTGACCCCCAAATTGTTTTTGAGCTGATGGCATCAGCTAGGGAGTGGGAGGGAACTTGGGACAGTTTAGGGTAGAACAAAGTTGAGGAGTGGAGTGGGAAAGAAGATGGGAAGTTATATTAGAGAAAAAAGGTGTGTTCTAGACTTGGGCCGAACTGAAGTCTCACCAGTTTGACTCACACCTTTTATTGCTACCCGCAGCCGCCCCTGCCACCCCTGCCAGCACTTGGCCTCTTCTTCTCAAACTCTTAGACAGGAACCTCGGGCTTTTGGATGCCACCTGTTTCATTTTGTCCATTTTCAGGGATTAGTAGGTACCTTCTTACAGGACTTTCTCTCCTCTAATGCTTTACTCTGGAAAGTCTAGAATGCTTATCTGCTCCTTCCAATTCCATCCCATAACCATGGGCTAAGCCATCCTAAGGGCTTGTTTGTCATTGTGTAAACTGACCTAGTTCAAATGATGGTAAGAAAAAGACAATGTTGGGGTTGCCAGTTTTTCAGCTTTTCCTGAGTTCCTTTAATTTTGTTTGTTCGTTTTGTGCTCAGGGATGAGCAATGCTGATGTATTCAGGGGTGCCAGGCTTCCAGTCCACGATAATCCAAGCCCAGGTAAGCACTGCTGCTTATCTGCAATCAGCTAGCCCAGCTTCCGGGAATCTTAATGTCTAATTCTTTACCAAGTTTGCTTCTAGATCAGAACCTATAGTTTCATGTATGTGACAACGATTCAATCAGGGCATATGTGCTGCTCGTTTTGCTGGAGAAATGACTTGTGAAATATTTTTAGGGTAAATGAGACTTATGCTCAGAAATATAACGGATCAAGCTGCAGTTCCTCAACTGACGTCTCCATTATTCATGGAGCATCTTGTCTGCATCTCTTCATCATAACAAGTTACATTCTGTACATTTAGTCTCTTGGTAAACTGCCTTGGAATTCTTTGGTACAGAAAACTAATTTTCTCTATAGTTAAGCTATAAGATAAGAGTAGCTCTTTTCAAGAAGCCACACACAGGTCAGGATCGCCATGCAGGCGGCGGAGGACCACAGCAGTCGGCACAGAGCCCTGTGGGGATACCTGCATGCCTCAAGAAAGCGGAGCGTGCAGACTGCTCCCCCTGCCCCCGAACTGATTCATTTTGAAGTCAGGTGCGTGGCGGCAAACTGCGTGCATGATGAGTACCTCCATGAACCTGGACGTGGCGTTGAGCATGCAGGTTCTGTGCTGCTCCCCCTTGTACTCAAAGGGCACCATGACGAAGCCGATCGCTTCTGGGATGGCCAGGATAAAGGACAGAACCCAGATGGACACAATTTCAATGGCGGTAATCAAGGGGATCCCAATTCCTTGAACACGGCTCCAGGAGGCCACTGCTCTGTACCTGAAGGGGGAGGGGAGGAGAACGAAGCAGAGGAGGGGAGGGGAGGAAGAGGAAAGAAGGGTGATAAATCAAGTTGGTAGCATAGTTTGAACTAATTTTGACTGGAAAGTGCCTCCCCTTGGAAAAACAACCATTAGCTTTCAAGGAATATTCTGGGAACCTTGATGGGAAATGAAACAAAACAAAGCAAAAATAGCTTACCCATTTGGAAACACAGATGGCCTGGCAGGCCTGCATCTAAAATCTGTAAAGAACTAAAACTTTTGAGTGCTTTAAAATACCATCGTCCAGATAGGACGTGGATGAGGCCACCGCGAACATGTGGTGGGTTTGGATCCCCGCATAGGGCCTTCACAAGACCGGGCCCTCCAGCAGTCCGTCATGGTGGGGCGTCCATGGGCCCCACCCCTGAGTGGGTATCATTGGCAGTTGGTGGTGGGAGAGGGAGGCAGTGTCATTTTCTTCAGTAGTGTGGCCCAGCCATCGGCCCAAGCTCATGAACAACACTAATTGAACTGAGGGTCAGGTAGGAGACAGGACTAGTCGGGAAGAAGGGGTTCAGAGGGAGGGGGGCACAGGAGAGGGAAATGGGGACGGTTGAATATAATCCTAATACTTTGTGAGCATGGATGAAACTGTCTGTAAAGCAGTAAGAACATAAATGATCTCAGCCCATTTAGAAAGTGGCGCCAGCACGGGGTGTGCCCAGGTGCTTTAAGCTGAGGGGAAGGAGGAGACAGTGTAGTGAAGCCACCAGATTTTCCGTAGTAACGTCTGTCTGTCTGTCTGTCTGTGTGTATGTATGCACGCTTGCATTTATATATGTATATATGTATATATAAACATATATATATATGTATATATATATATGCACATGTATGCATAAATGTATATATGTATATGTGTGTGTGTGTAAATATATATATGTTTTTTTGTTTGTTTGTTTGTTTTGTTTTGTTTGTTTACATGATCCCTCTATGGAGCCCTGGCTATCCTGGAACTTAGTATATAGACCAGGCTAGACTTGAACTCACAGAGATCTGTCTGTCTCTGTCTCCTGAGTGCTGGGGTTAAATACGTGGACCACTGCCTCTGGCTTTTCTTTATCTATTAACAGAACTTGAAACATTCCTGATGAGTGTTTGATCCTGGAGGGAATCATGACTCCATATAATCCATAGTTTCCTTCATTCCTGTACTTTCAAGATGCTACCAGAGTGGCCTTTTCCAGGCATCAGGTTAAAAAAATACCATTTTGGTAAGTATTGAAGGATTGTTACCTATCTCCCGTTATAGTCCTGGGCTGGAGAAAATAAAACAGAGTTACAAATTTCTTCATTCCTAACCCTCAGATTAACAACCCAGCAGGAAAGAATAGCTCATACAGATGGTAGGATACAAATATTACATGAATAATAAATAGAAAAAATAACCCCATGGCATTAAGAAATTATGCTGTCTTTAGGGGTTTTTGTTGGTTTTGTTTTTGTTTTTTTTTTGAAATAGGGTTTCTCTGTGTAGCCTTGGCTGCTCTGGACTCCTTTTGTAGACCAGGCTGGCCTCGAGCTCACATTTGCTTCTACCTCCCGAGTGCTGGGATTACAGGCATGCACCACCACGCCTGGCTTTACTTTCTTATTTTTGGTATGTGTGTGAGTTGAGACATGGCCTACGATGGTCTAGAATTCACCATGTTTCCTAGGAAGATCTTGAGCTCCTATCCACTTGCCTGTACTTCCTAAGTGCTGGGATTATAATTGTGTACCACCATGCCTGGATATTTAATATTTTTATGATAACAATTGCATTTAAATGTCTGAAGAAGGTCTGGCTTAGAAATACTATGGTCTTTGATTTGATGTGATGGTCTGTTGCTAACTTCTGTGCATCTAAAGAAACTAATCAAGAGAGAGGACCCTGACTAAAACGCTCAATCCTCATCCTGAAAAGCAAAGAGGATGGACATCAGAAGAAGAAAACAGGAAACAACCTAAAAACCTGCCACAGAGGGCCTCTGAAAGGCTCTGCCCTGCAGACTATCAAAGCAGACGCTGAGACTTATGGCCAACTGTTGGGCAGAGTGCATGGAATCTTATGTAAGAAGTGGGAAATAGTAAGAGCTGGAGAGGACAGGAACCCCACAAGGAGAGCAACAGAACCAGAAAATTTGAACACAGGGGTCTTCCCAGAGACTCATATTCCAACCAAGTACCAGGCATGGAGATAACCTAGAACCCCTGCACAGATGTAACCCATGGCAGTTTAATGTCCAAGTGGGTTCCATAGTAATGGGAAGAGGGACTGCCTCTGACATAAACTGATTGGCCTGCTCTTTGATCACCTACCCCTGAGGGGGGAGCAGTCTTACCAGGCCACAGAAGATGACAATGCAGCCACTCCTGATGAGATCTGATAGACTAAGATCAGAAGGAAGGAGAGGAGGACCTCCCCTATCAGTGGACTTGGGGAGGGGCATGTGTGAAGAAGGGGGAGGGAGGGTGGGACTGGGAAGGGAGGAGGGAGGGGCTTATGGGGGATACAAAGTGAATAAAGTGCAATTAATAAAAAAATAAAATAAAATTATACATAAAAAAGAACTGAAATGGTCTTGTAAAATTTTTAATACTTTTGTATGGCCTGGTGTTTTTGTGGCTTCATTCTTGAAATTTTTCTTCCTGTTGTAATAGAAAAGAAACATTTTCTTTTTATAGCTTTCATTGAATAGTGCCAGAAGGCGGCTGTAAACAGACCAAGCATGGGAGACAGGTGCAGTTGAGTTTGCAAGTTTTTTTTTTTTTTACTTCAATTTACTGTTAAAGATTAATCAATAAGACAAGGCAATATAGAAGACACCCATTTCTAGATGAGCTCTTTGCCCACCACTGCAGTGCGCTACACTGACTGCACCTGTGAACCAGCTCCTAAGGATAACAAAGCCCGATTCTTCAGCAGATTTACCTATAAACCAGAGCCTATAAACTCCTGTATGTTATGGGGATACCACAGGACACAGGTGCAGTTCAATTTGCTGGAGAAATGTTTTGCTGAATATTTTTAGGGTAAGTTTTGCATGCCTAAGGATGTCTGGAAGAAAGACCAAGTTGGTGCAGAATGGAAAAAATCCAGCTATACCAACCATGAGCACCTTTTATGATATGGCATAAACTGCATCCAAAAATTCAGGGTCTTTTTTAGTAAGATAGAATTGGAGCTTATTGTGATTTTTAGTGCTATTTTATCTTATTTGTGGCTTATTGATCCGGCAGCCTGGTGTTCGGTAAAAGCTAGAGCGGAGACAGGATGTCTGTGTCCCAAGCCTCCAGCCTAGGTGCATTGCCTCCTCTCCCTTCCCTACACGCAGCAAGGGGATCCGGACAAAATGCCTCTTCTCACAAGACAAAGTGGTGACCCTGTTTACCCACCAGTGTCGGCTCAGACCGTGGCGGGCACACACATACACATCCGTGATCTAGTGCAGACTTTTATATACGTAGAAGCCGTTTTTAGCATGCGGTTCACTAAGTGGCTCACAGCAGTCAGGCCCTTTATTGACTCATATCACAAAGAATGGGAATATTTCCCATTTGTAATCACATTCATCTTGATAACTTCGTTGTGAGATAGAAAGAAAACGACTATAGGAGCAATTAGAAACAATTCCTTGTAATGACGGACATGGGGAAGGGGTGGAAAACAGAAAACCGGACAAAACAAAAAACAGGACAAAACAAAAAACAGGACAAAATGAAAAACAAACAAAAAATAAACAAAAATACCCAACAAAACAAAACAACCCCTCCAAAAGGGTGTTCTCTTCTCCCCTGGTCACCATCGCCATGCTGCCTAAATTATTTCGATGATCTTCTAACTGGTGTCTGTACCCACTGTGCTCTGCCACAGCGATGGGAATGACCCTACTGAACAGGTTAGGCATCCGCTAACGCCATCCCTGCTCTCACTGCCCCCTTCCGGAGGACGCCCAGGACGACTCCTTCCCTTCAGGTCTTTACTCAGTTGCATCTTAATTTAAGTTCAGGTTTCACTGCGCGCTCGAGGCCTGGAGGAAAGGAGGCAGCTGAGGCTGCTGTGGATTTGTGACTCCCTGCATCACCTTCCCACGTCCCAGGATCACAGATATGCACCCCTCCCAGCCCAGTTGCCTTCTAATGGAACTCCTACTTAAGACTTCTGATTTTTTTTGAGTTAGTTTTGTATCCGGCCACTTTGCTGAAGGTGTTAATCAGCTGTAGGAGTTCCCTGGTAGAATATTTGGGGCCACTCAAGTATACTATCATATCATCTGCAAATAGTGATACTTTGACTTCTTCCTTTCCAATTTGTATCCCCTTGATCTCCTTTAGTTGTCTTATTGCTTTCACTAGGACTTCCAGTACTATGTTGAAGAAATATGGAGAGAGTGGGAAACCTTGTCTTGTCCCTGATTTCAGTGGGATTGATTTAAGTTTTTCTCCATTTAGTTTGATGTTGGCTATAGGCTTGTTGTATATTGTCTTTACTATGTTTAGATATGTGCCTTGTATCCCTGATCTCTCCAAGGCTTTAAACATGAATGGATGTTGGATCTTGTCAAATGCTTTTTCAGCATCTATGTGGTTTTTTTTTTCTTTCAGTTTGTTAATATGGTGGATGACATTGATGGATTTCCATATATTGAACCACCCCTGCATACTGGAATGAAGCCTACTTGGTCATGGTGGATGATATCTTTGATGTGTTCTTGTATTTAGTTTGCAAGTATTTTGTTGAGTATTTTTCCATCAATGTTCATAAGAGAGAATGGCCTGAAATTCTCTTTCTTTGGGTAGAATGCAGGGAATCTTATGAAAGAAGTGGGAGATAGTAAGACCTGGAGAGGACAGGAGCTCCACAAGGACAGTGACAGATCCTAAAAGTCTGGGCACAGGGGTCTTTTCTGAGACTGATACTCCAGGCAAGGACCACTCATGGAGATGGCCTGGAACCTCTGCACGGAAGTAGCC